GACCCAAAAACAACTTCAACAACAATCACAGCAAACAAGAGAAAAGAAAAATCCTTTGCATAAATGATGACACAATGATTCATAGAAATAATAATAAAGCTGTAATCACAGCATATACAGCAACAACAATGATAATGTCAATATTGTAAATGGGAGACGAGCATATTGCTTGGTAGCGTCACTGAGAGGGGCTGAAAAGCTTTAATAATTATTATCACATATTTATACGGTTATATGAGCATGTTTTATGTACTCATATCTCATAACCACTCATGTTTTAAACACAAAGCGTTTCTATGCCCCAGAGTCCAGTTGCATGGGCAAGGGAAGCGGGCAGCGAAAGGTGCAACCAATAAAACGAATAAAAACAAACGAACAGATTGAAAAAAAAAGAAACAAAAAAAAAAAAAAAATGAAAATACGAATGAGAAAAGCGAAAGCCACAAATGGCAGAGCAGAGAGCAATAAACTGAATTTTTATGTTAAACAATAAAAACAACAAATGAACGAGACTGCAAAAAAAAAAGCAAAAAAAAGAACAAAAAAATACAGAACGGAAAAGTCAACACACCATTTAAACAAACAATACGAACAAAATAAAATCATTTCTTAGCCACACAGAGAAGCTTTTTATTCCTTGCTTTCCTTATTCTTATAAAATACACATATATAATTGTTGGCGTTGTATACGGATCTCCCTCATTGGGTATAAGCCACGCCCCTAATATGAGCAGCACACAGAAATCGTATAAGCTATCATTTATGCCCTTAACGTTCTTTCACTTACACAAAGGGGTTGATGGCGCTTTACTGCTTATGCACTGCGTACAACACAATTCTCGCATGTGTGTGAGAGATTATGGTTAATATAAACATTAAAGAAGACGACTTTATATACGAAAGTATAAATATATACCGATACTATTTTATGTATATCTGTGCTGGTATGCACTTGTATACGCTATAAGTGTAGTGCAAAAAGTCAAAAGGATATATTTTTGCCTTTTCTTTTTTTTTTTTCTTTTCTTCTTATTATTCTCAGAACCGCATAAAAACACTTATGTGTGCAGTGCAAATGCATTTAATATGTATTAATATTATCTATATATATATATATGTATACATAGATGAGACTTTCTTTTGCCCATCTGCTGCTTTTTTTTTTTTTTTTTTTTTTTTTATATAAAACTAGTGAGTACATTATGTTTGCTTTTTGTTGGCAATTTTTATATAAGAGACCTTATGATTGTTCCCCATAAAATCATTGGTTTTTATTACATCCAAATACGACGAGGATGTACTTAATACTTTTGTATGCTCATATAAATCCTTATGCACATAATGCATAACTTCTATGACATGGTATGTAATTGAAGCTCATGATTTTATGGCATAAGTAAATGGGCAAAGAAAAAAAAAGAAAAAAAAAAAAAAAAAAAAAACAAAACAAAAAAAATGAAAGGAAAGGAAAGGAAAAAAAAAATACCAAACAAAATACTACTAGTTTAACCAAACTTTGTCGATGATGACTACAACTAATTTGTGGTCATAATAAAAGTTAATAAAGCTATATGACGAACTGTGCAAACAATTTCAATTTGTTTAAAATTCCGCTACAACTGCAAATTATGCATACAAAAAAAAAAATTGTATTCAAAAAATTCCTGAGCATTAAAAACAAAAAGTATTCTATCTAAAATTATTGTTAACACATGCAGATTTCTGTCTATTCCATATTTGGTCAAATCAGTTCATATATGAAAATATTCACAAAGTGAACTTTGTGTGAATTTCGTTAAATAAGTCATAAAATATTGATAAAAATATAATGAAATTTTCCCATTTATATCAAATTCACGGCTGAATATCGCCTATATTTTTATTTACTTGAACTCAGGATATATAATTGACAATGTTCAAGTTCAAACCGTGATCTTTCAATTTTGATCATTTAAATAAATTCAATAACACAACGATAGATAGATGTATGTACTTATATCCGATGTATTGATAGAGGAGTGAATGGTCAAGTCGAAAAGCGGAAAGAAAAAAAAAAACATGCAAGTAAAGTGGGCAAACTCATAGAGGATCTGAGGATCTGTAACTATGTAAATCGGCGGCGACACGAGTGGACAAACAGACACTCAGGCGGACAGATGGATAGAAGAGCAAAACGCTCTAATAGACGGGTAATCGAACAGTCAAAACAACGAACGGATAGACGGATGGACGGACGGACGGACGGTCGAACGGTAGGTAATCAATCCAGTTAAGAAAATATTTTGCTTTATGCTACGTGAATTTTTTTTTTTTTTTGCCTTTTGTTACAGATACAATAAGCGAAATGATCTTCCGCTTGTTCGTAGCGGACGACATAAATGCTCAAATTCATCTATCAATCTGAGAGAGCCACCAACAGGTGGTTAGACAATCGCAAAGGTATAGTTAAGTTGATTTCAGTAAATACAGTGTGCCACAGAAATGATTGTATGTGTGTGTGTGTGTGTGTGTGTGTGTGTATGTGTGTATGTGTTTGTTTTTTTTCAAATATTAACATTGCACGAAATTAGTTGATTTGGTAATAAACATGTCTGTCCGCCCTCGTATTAAAAATTTTATTGAACTTCCCAATATGAAACTATGATGTTATTATTATTATTATTATTAATATTATGAATATTGTGACAATTACTTTAGCCAGAGAAATAAATTCTAAGACTAAAGTCAGCCTTGAAGCCATAATCAGTGATTTGTTAGCCAACATCGTTTGCCTACTCGGTCACTTAGACGGACAAGACGCATTCATAATTTATGAAGTAATGCAATAAAATTATTTATGCAATTTTTCTGAATCATACACGAAATATATGCACACTTTAGGGTCTCGGTAATCGCCGCTAATGAAATGGAAAATAATTACTTACCAAATTAATGATATCTAAAAAATACATGCATTCGAACCTGTTATAAAAGGTAAAAAAAAAAAAAAAAAAAAAAAAAACAACAAAAACCCATAGGCATCGGAATATTTCACTTACAAATAGCTTTCCAGTTACAGGTAGAGAGTGCAAGATGGCAAATAGCATACTCCGAAGCTATTATAATAACTTCACGGAGTTCTGTTCAAGCGAATTTTTTCATTAGGAATGATTAGTAGAAAATGACCACAAAAACTAGTAGTTATTAAACGATTAGCTCAAAATGTAACGATTGATTAAATTAATAATAAAAGGGACCGACACTTTCATCCATCGGATCAGTTCAGTGGAAATGTAAGCTAACGTTCAAAGAACCGATGAATTTTGCAAATTCGATAGCAAACGAAAGTTTTGAAATTTTTTTTTGCGTTCTATGTCTTCTTTAGAATAATACATTTAAAGCTATCATAATCACTCTCTACTTGAGTAGCGTTCAGCGCACAGAAGGAATATGGTTTACACTTTGATGCTATGTAGGTCTTTGGTGCTATATAAGTCGAGGTCAGTTAACTCCAACAGTTGTCTCCAAGTAGCTTTGTAACTCAAAATTAAGGATTAACTGTAGCTTCTCGTTAGGTGTCAAAAATTTTTCAAGTGCAAGTAGTTGCAACTTTTATATAAAAATTTGTGTACCGTGGTATGCTTGACATGTTATATTGTACCTTGTTGACGTTCCAATTTATGTAAATATTTTCTCTATAGAATGTGTCTGCGATTATATCGTTTACTCGATTGTCTAAAGTAAATTGAAGGACTTGAGCAACCGTAGATCCGATCTGATGCTATATTTTTAGTTAACAAATTATTTAAAAATTTTCTTATATCATTTCTTTCATGTTCTTTTACTCGTTTTTCAAATTTAATTAAAAAAAATTTTTTAACGAATATTATTATGCTTGCCGCCCACTGTACCATATAAAAGTTAATTCAAACTCCAATAAGAAACCATCACCCAATTAACAGCACTCATAGTAAGCATAGACAATCAAGGATATTACTAATACATTTGCAGTCATATAACACACGCATACACGCGCATTTCACCTAAGTAAGGCGGAAGATGACGAAAAAAACAAAAAAAAAAAAAAAAAGAGAGAAAATTTAAATTAAATAAAATCTAATAAAATAACAAGAAAAAATAATAAAAATAAAATGGAAAAAAAAAATGAAAAAAAAAGGAAAAATATTAAATTAAGGAAATAATGGAAGACCATGAATGTGCAATACAATAAGTGCAATAAACAAACGGCTCGAACGCACACATACATGCGTATTTGCAGAGTACAGATATGGTCAGAGTGTAAACATATTTGTGAAAACTTGTATATAAGGATTTATCACGTGTCCTTCGTATAACATATATATATATATATATATATAAATGAACAGACAAAGAGATCTGGAGGAGAGTCTTAAAAGCGTACCTTACTCTCACACTTATTAATTTAATAAAAGGCTGCGAAAAATGGGCAGGAGAAACAGACCAACCACCGCCAAGCAACCCTTATAATGAAAACAAATTTGATGACTAACACATAAGTAAGGATAATAGTAAAGGCAAAATAACACAAACAACAACAAATGCGCAGCCATTTACTACTACATATTAAAGTTCGCATCCATACGCATGCATATACAGGGAAGAATATATTGACTTGAAAATGTATTACCTTCTGTGTAGTATACGTTAATTCAGTTCATTTAGAGAACGAAACGTGTTCGCATGCAACGCTATATACTAACTGAAGACGCGGTCGTTATTAGAAAAGAAACGCATATTGCTTATTATCTTTAATTAATTGATGAAACTATCATGTATTTATGTAAATTTTTTTTGTAAGTAAAAAACAATTCAAATAACACAGAATAATGAAAAAGAAAAGTAAATCAACAAAAAAATAAAAAATAAAAGCAAAAAAAAAAAAAACAAATTCAAATAAAAAAAAAAAAGAAAAGGAAAATAAATAAATAAATAAAAAAAAAAAATAATAATAATAATTTATTTAATAGCATGTACTCATTATGCTTTTAAGTCGCTCAACCACGGTAACAACACGTTGTGAAACTGTCAACAACAATGTCTTTATGAAAAATTCGATAAACATTGCTGACATGGCCTACGAGCATATCTCATTAACAGGTCGCATTAGTGATCGCGTGGAAATGTGCTGCAATCAATGCGGAAATTTTACACAAATTTTAAATACAAATAATTTAACACATGATGAATTGATACGTCGTGAGCATAATTTTAGATGTGATAAATGCATTAATATTAGCGGTAACAGTATCGGTTCAATGCAAAAATCTGATCCTATTCATAAGACTAACGGTGATAATAAGAAAATTAAACGTATTCATGATAACGGTCAAGACTATCACGACGACATTATAGTTTCAAACGGTGGCGGTCGTAGTCGTAGTGGTGATGGTGATGGTGATGGTGATGCTGATGCTGATGCTGACCATCAAAAGATATCATCGTTGCCGTCATCACGTTTGCCGAAAATATCGAAAGAGGACGTAGAAGACGATGATGCTCATATAGGCATTGATGATGATATGGATGATGATATCATTCATGAACAAGAACATGACGTTGATTTAATAAATGATGACGACGACGACGACGATGATATCGATAACGGGAGGAATAAATCAAATCATAAGATATCATCGTTGCCGTCATCACGTTTGCCGAAAATATCAAAAATATCACCCGCTTCTACCACAACTATTCTGAAAGACAACAACACAAAACCGATTTTAAAATTTAGTGTATCAGCGATATTAGGCGATACCCGTGAAGGTGTTCGAGTGCGAAATGGTAAGACAAAAGTTGTAGAGAAAACAAAAAAAAAAAACTGATTATATTTCTCATGGAATAATTCAAAAACAAATGTACTAAGTTCCCATACCTAACTATTTATGCGAATCGAATTTTTTTTTTTTTTTTTTTTTAATATAGAAAATGCGGAAAAAAGAAGGTCAAAAGGTACACAAGCAAATTCAATTCATTTCAAAGTATGATGATTGGATCTTGCTCGCAACGTGATCTAGCTTAAGCAAGTCTCGTTTCGTCTTTCGTTTTTTCTAATTTAAGATCGTCTTCTTCTAGGATAAGATATTGTATTTTGCGTGTCTTGAATACCCATCGTCGTGAAATTTGACATTATTTCATTAAATAGTTTTTAATGCGCAAGCGTACAATATACGGGGGGCAGAAAACCTAATGCCCGCTACTTTCCAATAAATATTCTCAATAAATGATAGATTTTATAGAGAAAGCCCGACACGGACTGATCCGGGTAAATAGAAATCGAATGAAAGTGAGATTGTCAATAAAGAAAGAATTATATTTTCATCAATTAGTTGGAACGAAATTAAAGTTAAAAGTCTTGCCAAAACTTATTTATTTATTTTTATTTTTTGTTTTTTGAGTAGCTGTCAGTTTAAATCTCTGCTGTATATGTCTCAGTTTAACTGGCAGGTGATAGGCGAACGATTTCCGCCGAAACTGACGATTAAATGGAATTCAGTCACACTACTAACTTACTCTATATCCAAAATCAATTATTGCTATAATTGCGAATGAGAGGAGGGAAGATATGAAATCATTAAAAATTGCTTATTAATTTATAAGAAATATACAATTCCTAATGGATGGCGAGAATGCGAAAACATTACTCCCTCTCACCCTCTATCACTCTCTCTCTCTCTCTCTCTCTCTCTCTCTTGAATGCAAGTGGGACAATATCAATAGACGTCTAGACGAATTTGACAAGATTTTGATACTGACATAGGAATAAATTGGCGATGTATTCGAACGAGACAGATTCTTAGCAACGTCATTTGCAATAATATAAGAAAACTCTTTTGATATACTAGGAAGTCCTACCATGTATAAGCTTTCCATTTTCCGCGAAGCTATTTCTATCTATCTATCTACGTACTACTCAGTTAAGGTATATTTTTCCTATCATGACTAACGGATTCACGATAAGCCTAATGATGATTAAAATAAAGTTAAGTGCATGCGGACTAAAACTTTTAGTTAAATTCAATTCTTTCAACATATTAAACATAATTTCATTGCCTGAATACAGGCAATCATTAGTATCAAGAAGCCTTTCAAAACTTTACTTATATAAAATATAACCATCGAGAAACAAAAACTATCACATACGCTTTTGTTAGAGTTCTCCGCTCGCCATAGTATTTAATATAAATGCTTTATGTGTTCGTATGAAAAACTTTAAAATGGTATGAACACTATCGACGAAGTAATTCAATCATATTTTGTTAGTTTGAAATAATTTTTTAAAATTATCTATTCGAAAATATAATTCACATAATAATTTTGAGTAGTTAGTGTGAGTGAGCTCCAACAATAAATGAATGAAAGAAAAACAAAAATAAATAAATTTTCCATATAATGTAAGAAGTGGATCCATCGACTGATTATACAACCAACTTCTTTGAAATTCGTGTCGCTTCAAATTGAATAATTTCCCGTTTATGTTCATTCTTATTTAATCACTAGGATCCACACAATTACGTTGCCAAAGTATCCGCAATTTGATCAAAGTTTACACCCTTTTGCAAGAATAGGGAGAATTGTTACCCGATCATTTTTCCCCTCAGCTGACAAAGGACAAATAGAAAACTTCAAGCATGCCGCTTGATTTTTGCATAAAGAAGATATATACATATATATATATATATCTATATATATAAAAAATAACAAAAAAGAAAAAAAAAGAAAATATTTTTAACTTAACCGTAGTTTTATTGCTTTCAGTTGTTATATGCAAAGTAAATCATATTTTTTTACAGCGAAATTAAATTAATCTCTATATGAAAATATATTGTGTTTCTACATATAAGTAATTTAATGCAGCCATTCATTTACCATTGAACAATGAGTTAAATTAAGTGAAACTATTAAAAAGATTATAGTGGAACACGGTCCAATATTAAATACTCTACCAAATATCACTTAATACAGTTGAATTAATACGACAACTTTTCATAATATATTACCGATACGTATCATTTTCGGGAGCGTTCGTCCTTGGGCCAAAATATGTCGGTTTAACAACTGTCATCAAAATATCTCAAAAATTGTGACCTACAGGTTGAGCGCAAGAAAACAAAACGGATGGACGGACAGACAGACAGATACACAAACGTAGAATCACTAAAAGGAGAATTTCTTCCAAATCCTTCTACATACATTCTAACGAATCTCATCAGCTCTTCTACCAAAAATGACGTAGAGTATAAAAGGCTTGTTATACCTAAAAATATATTGTCGCGCATCCGATTTGCCTAGAGACTATATTGAAAATCACAAAATCTGTATAACTTTGCCTTTCGCTTGAAAATATGTATAAAGAACAGTTTCAAAGAAGGTTTGATTGTTAGCCGATCTGCGGATCAACTTTAGTCTTCACTATTATATTGCACGTGCATACACATATACACTCTCCCTAAGTACTTGGTCAAATATTAGAAAGAAGCGTGCAGGGATCACGGCTTACCCGGCTTTCTCAGCTCCCCTGCCCCCTTCAACCTGAAGTTGCCCGTGCACAGCATAACACACTACCGCCACTCATCATTCCTTAAGCACTTTAATTTTGAAACAACCTGGCTGCAGTGTTCTTTTCCACCGTTCGAGACGTTTCCAGGCAAGCATACGTAATCGCTATTCCGTTCGTCCCTCCGTCCCTCGCTAATTTTTATCGCTCTACACCACCACTTCGCCTATATGTATAAAGTATAGCCCCCGAGTAGATGGGTAAATAAATAATAAAAAAGTGGGGAAATTATATTTAACCCACACCGGGCCCACTACTCTTAAGCCCAACATTTTTTTGGTGAAAAGGCGTTGCCAATTTGTGCAGATACTTTAAGATCAGCCATAGAATATATAGAGAAATTTTCGTCGCTACATTCACTTTACGATATAAGTACGTTAGTAAACATATCTGTTCTCAGGTTACTTTCACTTTCAAAGTTCGCGCCATATTTGAAGTTGATAGCTTCATTTTTCCGACCAAGAGAAGATTTACCATAGACTTCAATTTTATGCTTAAATCTAGAACTTTTGAGGCTTCCCTCTGATTGTTGCAATTATTTTGATAAAATGGATACAACCCCAAGCCTCAGTGATGCGTATAATGAGAAGAAGAAATATTTTGGATTAGTAATGCACATAGGAGGTCACATTAAGCTTTTTCGAACCGAGTTGACCGCGCATATGCCAGCATTATATACAGTTTCAACGACTGTTCTTCGATTGCAAATTCATTTCGATTCCGCAATTATCGCGGGAATGATTGGCAGGAAAAAATACCAACTGATGAGGCAGGGTTTTTATGAAATACCGAACATTCGAACAATTTGGATGAAGTTTGTGGACTTTTTGTAAAGCTATTTAGTAAACTTGAGAGATATTCTCTCTATTTGCTTTGCATCTTTCAGATTTTTAATTGACATCTGCGAAAATCACATTGGCTACGTATGAAGTCAATTTAAGTGATCTAATTGAACTGTGAGACGGTAGAAAATGGAAATTCACTATTAAATTGCAAAATCTTTTGCTTGTGAAAAGAATCGAAGATATATGATATGAGATAAACGTGTCTTACGTTGCATGGTTTCAACGAATGACCCGTTATTTGTTATATGATTATAATGAGGATGAGGAATACTGATAACCTAATGAATATTCCAATTGTGTCTACCACAATTATATTAGGTTGGAAACTATGAAACGGAAGTTTTTCACATTATTTATTATGTGAATTTTCCTTGACTTTATTTATTGCGAACGAAAATGTTTTAACACAATTGTATGATTAGTTTGTAGTGCAAATCGAAGTGCTCGACTAGTTGTGTGGGCATCGGATTTCGCAATCGTCCTTAATACCTTGTTATCAATATGTGCCGGTGGTCTTCATCGAGGCTCATTGGCGATACTCAATTTTTAAAACCAATATCGAGCATTTTTTTTTTTTTTCGTTGATGGATGATCCATCTCCGAATGCCTGATTAATATTTCGTGAAGCTTGAGCTGTGTTATGATTTAATTTAAACTCATACACGAAGAGTAGATGTAAATCGCGTTTTGCTTCCATCTGGCTTGGGATACAAAAATAAAAGAAAATTTTACTAACTGAGTAACTTTATAAATATAATAATATCGAGCGCGCGTTGCAACGTATCTCTCGAACTCGCAGCTGAATACAGAGTAAAGAAGAAACGCCCGTTTCATAGTTTCCAACCTAATAAATTGACAAATTTCGATTAAAGACATATTCGCTTATAATTATTTTGTAATTATTTGAACGAAAGTTAAAAAATTTTTTCAAGAAATCTAACGGTCCTTAGCTGTGCGTGACACAAATAAATAAGATAAGATAAGGTGTAAACTAGAACGGGCTGCGAAATAAGGAAGCTGACGATGGCATTAACTTTTGGGAGCTCAAAAGCCAAATTGCATAACGCCTCGAATACATGTGCCAGTAATGAATATTGAATGACTGGTAAAAGTTCCAATAAAATTTGTAGCAACATCGCCCAATTTTATCCATTCTAACAATCTACTACTACTACTACTACAGGCATATTTCGAATAATTTCTAAGTTGTGATTGTTCTTCGTCGTAATTGGCAATATGAGAAAATGCTATTCAAAATTTGCCTTACTTGACCTTGTCGTGATCGAAGACGATGTTTTTTCTATTCGTCAATTGTAAATCTTTTATCGCATTCGTGAGCTCTAATCGCTTGGGAGTGATTGCTCGAAAGTTGGAGAGAAGCT